AAAGAGAGGTCAATTGCTTTTTATATAAGTGAGATAAACAATTAATTACGTTATCAAATACTATTTAATGAAGACAAACAATTGCATCAATGATCCCTATCTAATGAGTTATCAATTCGCTAGCATGCGACACTCCCGACGACAAGGGTGACACAATTTTAGCGGACAAAATTATTCATTATCAAGGGCTGTTGGGTTGAGACGGGATTTGAGATATGAATACAATTGTGGTTCAAAATAACGAAACAATAATGATCATCAAACAAAATCCAGCTACTCTGATCTAATGACGTGATCGCAAGTTGCTGGAATTGCGGTGGTGTTTGCGTTGCAGGGGCCCTCTGAGCGAGTTTAGGATTGCAGGTGGTTTGTATGGATAGTGGGATAGCGGCCGAATTGTCTTGTCTGTCTTCTGTAAGGGCGGCGCGTCCGGTATCTGGCATCGGCTGTTGTTGCCTATTCGGGTGGTTGTTGTATATTCGGGTGAATGTCTCGCTCGCGGTAGCGACACTATGTTTGCTGGTTGAAATTCGATTTATGTCTTGCATGCAGGCCATCATGTATATTCTGTGAACAAATAAATAAATAAGATTAACGATACCAACAATGTAACATGAATTACTGCACAATAATGTTCCTAACTGCCACTATCACGTAGAAAGCGACATATCCACCTTGCTTATTAAAGAATCACATTCAAACAGCTCATTGAAATGCTGGATACTGCTGGTTTTCTTATCCTATGGCCTATGAAATAGCGCTCGAGTTTCCAGAAACTCTTAAGCTAATGCATCGGGAATGGTTTTTCAAACCTACTTAATACTGAGGATATATCACTCCATTTATGAGACCGACAAGATCCTNGTACACCATTGGGTATCGAGCAACGCTTTCCAACTTTCCGCCTACCTGTTTGCTAGGTAAAGTCTTGCCCAAAACAGAATGGTCTACCGTGTCGTTAATATTCAACTATAATAGATACAGCTTTCCAAACGATTGCGTATAATTGTGCGGTGATACAACTGCACGGCTGGTTGTAAAGAACTCGCAAAGACTGAACACAGTTTTATTAGGATTGAGGGCTTTCCTTCCTCTTCGGCTAAGCTTATTGCAAGACCAAGAATAACTATACGAACAATCGTATTCTTAGAACTCACTGCAAGTTTATACTATTTGTATCTGTCTTGACAATATCTAATGATAATAGTGATTAACTTTTCACTCGTACGCTGAAGGCTTGGTTGAAACGATCAACGTACTAATCGCTTTAGATCAATGGTTCGGTTCTCATAGGGAGTTATTTATTCCCCAAGAATACATTCGTGCAAACGGAACGTTCTCGTAGCTGGGAGAGGTAGGGAACGCAAAGACGGTCTGCCAGATCATGGACGAGGGTATTGGAGCTCCCGAGCGTGATATTCACTGCTGCAAATCAATTCGGTTAATTATTTACTATCGATTTTTAGGCTATTTTTACCGGTTGTTTTCTGCAGTTGCTCTCGAAGATCATTGAATTGCATGTTCACGCGATGAATCACAGTTTATTTTCGGGATGGATTATTTCGAACGCATCTCCCAGGAAATCACTGGGCGGTTTGGAAGAGTAGTCCTATAACTCTATAATCGCCGAATTAATAACTAATCGTAAGATTCCAATTTCGTTAAGGTGGATAATTTCCCGTGCTCGTGCCGTTAGCTATTTGGAAAGAAAGATGTCAAATGAGATATTTGTGATAAATGAGAGGCATAAAATCCAAGTGAAACCGTTTCAACAATTCAACGAACAACCAAAACTTGCGTACAAGCAATCAACAAGGCGAGCGATCTTTCTGAAGAGCATTTCCGTTAAGTTTACATGGAATCCGATAGATTGGAACAATCAAAAAGCGAATCAATTCGAAGAATCGAACAAAAATATTGCATACATTCACAGTTATATTCACTCAATGAGTACCTGGATTATACCTGGATTGGTCAGGCTATCAAACGTTTATAACGTTGCTGACCACAATGCTCGCAATGTTTCCGTGCGCATTGTTTTAGCCTCAATTTACGCCACCCCGCTGGCTAGGCGAGCAGGCCAACCGAACACAGCCGAGTAATTAATTAGTCGCCGTGAATACTTTGCATAATTAAACGCAATCAAATACCAATTCAATAAATAATCATTGCTCTAATAAGAATTACCTCATCCAATAAGTATTCAAGGATTATCCATGATGCTTCCATTGTCTACTGTTTTAATATGGTAAAGTGACATACACTTCAAAGGATTGCTCATTAACTAAAATTGCAACCTAATGCTGTTTTGATCGCAACCTTTCTCGCAGTAAACATATCTAGGAAATGGGTCAGTGCCTGGATGAGTCTCACCCGTGTAGCTCAAGCTTCATTGTGAACCGGGGTCGATCCCGTAGTAAATGTCAAGCCGGGTCCCATGGTGAACCTTAGCAGAATGCAAAGATAAGACTCTGCTTGAGGCCAGCGAACAAACCGACCTCTTTTATCGAATATTTTAACTGCAAGATTGCCACCATATGATATCCTCAATCTGAAGTAAATGATTGCCTAATGTCGGGATTATTATTTGGAATGACGTGAATTTGAGGATTTATTTCGAAGTGATAATGTATCTTATAACTGAAAATTTGGACAAAAATAATATAAAACAAAACGACATCCAATAACGCAATGAACACATACCTCAAGCAGTAAGCGATGATCATAAAGTGTTGTATGCGTACTGTTATCTTTTGAAACTGACTCATTGTTTGCATTTGAAAACTGTGTGCACTTGCCTATTTTTAGTTAAATGTATTGATATTGTCGCGAAGATCGCGATATAACGCTGCATCAAGTGATTGAATTGAATGTGTGTGATACAGTGGTTAATAGTGTGGCATTGTGTCGCCTTAGAATGGATCACCAGTGTTGTTCAGTGTTGCTATGTATTTCGTCAATGTATGTGAAAAGTTTTTGAATTGTGGGATTCTCGGTGATGTTAATTGTTGGAATGTGGTTGATATTTGATGTGTTTCATTTAATTAATTACTCTATTAATTACTTTCTTGTTCGTAGGAATGTTTTTTAATTAATTGATCGCGCATTTGATTTGATTGAATTGCTTGTGGTTTAATTACCCAAGTTTGAGGTGATAAAACAATTTGGAACGTCGAAGAAAAGGGACGTAATCAATTCTGACTGA